CCTCATGGATCGACTTTCCAACAAAGGCTCGGTCCAAGCAGACAAACACGCAACTCATGGGCCGGCCCAAGAGTCTGAACGATAGGCCAGAAGGGCAATCCAATCACCGACCGGAAGGTCTGGCCAACGAGGAACGGCACCCGCCTTCCGACTCTGGCCCACCTCTCCGACCAGAGCGCTCGCTTCGGTCTCCAGCATGCCTCAGGACGGTCTCTCCGACCGGAAGGCCTAGCAAAGCACTACCTCCGACTCCGACCCCACGCCTCCGATCGGGGTATGCAAAGGCCCTGCTCACTGCTCTTCTCCGACTGGCGCAGCCGGAGCCGACTGGGACCGACCGACCGGGGACGCCCGCTCGGAAAAGACCAGGGATTGTATCCTGTACACCTGCAAAAACAGTATTCTGCAACCTCCCTAACACAAACAGTGTTGTGAACGCCGACATTTTCCTCTATAGTATTATGGGCGCCATTAACTCCCATACGGTAAGGCCCCCCCACATGCCTCTGGGCATCGACAGTGCTGTGGGCGCCGGCATTTACCGTACCGAGTGAACATGGTGAAACTCCTCACATGTCTCTCGGCATCAACAGTATAGCGGGTATCAACATCTGCCATACCCGAACAAAACGATGAAGCCTCTCACATGCATCCGATATCCAACAGTATTATGGGCGCCTACCATCATCCCGTACCCGCCGGCGTGGGCAACAAGACTTAGAAGCATACGTACTCTTTCCCTCTCACTTGTAAGGCAATCCTCTTCACCTATAAAAGGGGATGTGCTCTCTCCCAACATGAAGGTTAAGCCAGTTCATAAAGGTTAATCCAGATTCATTAGATCGACCAAGTTCACCAGTTCACAACCACAGAACCGTCAGGTTCGAACTTCAAGCACACGCTTGAACACTTAGCTCATAGCGGAGCTCCTGCCGCTCTCGGTCCTTCCGACCGGAGCTCGTCCGGATCTCTTGTACCCCCATCTTTCTTCTTCTCGTTTGTAACCCCACTGTAAACTTCGAGCATCTGGGCTTTGGAATAAAGTCACCGACCGACTCAAACTGGACGTAGGGCACGTTGCCTGAACCAGTATAAACCCTGTGTCATTGAGTGCTAGGCCACATCCGATCACAACGTATGGCAAAACTACAAATATTTACTTGTTGGTCACTTTTTACACCGATAAGTACTTTCAGTCATAGCTTATCAGCCAAACGAACATGGTACTTCTTGGTAAATAAGATGGAGTAGAGGCCTCGGTTAATGAAAGTGCGGTCTATCTTTGACTTGTGTAAAGGTCAAAGGATAGATGATGCAGATAAGCAGGAGTAAACCCGATGGTGGATTATAGTCGCTCTTTTTCATATGATATAACAGGTGTACATGTGATATGTATCAATCATTAATCAACTCTTTTATATCATTCTTGATGTTATATTTCAGCTACATAAACAAAGTTTTTATGTGGATAGTTTTATAGCTAACTAAGATGTATTATTGGAGAATCCCCGGTATATTGCACAAAATAATAATGCTTTTATTGTTGACAAGAACTCAGTTAAATGCAAGAACACTCCCTTATCCAAACACACGACATCCACAACATTTATCAATAGTGGAGGACAGGTGAGAAACTGAGAATTAAGGTATGACGCAGTCTTACATAACCATGGATTATTATAGCTTATAGCATCTTTAGCGAATAAAATGCCATGCTACAGTAGGCAACGGACAAACTCAAGGTATGGCAGTGGCCCCACCTTGCCAATACCGAGAGCTCTGCCACAACTGATTCGTGTATATTTTAGCGTAAGTATGATATATATGAACATTTTATAAATAGCTAAGTTCATCACTAGAGATGTCATTATGTTGTATTCAATCCATCTCAAATTATAAGACGTTTGACTTTTTTGACACCAAGTTTGACCACTCGTCTTATTCAAAATTTTGTGTAAAATATCACTTCTTTCGTCGTGGTTTGATTTATTAATAAAAATTCTTCAAGAATGACTTAAATTTGACTATATTTGCACAATTTTTTTGAATAAGACGAGTGGTCAAATTTGAGGCCAAAAATATCAAATGTCTTATAATTTGAGATGAAGGGGGTACATTTGTGTATTTTCTCCTCGTTGGCAAGGAACGTGGTCGTGGTGGCATGGCATTAACCAAGGGTAACGCTACACTCTATTTAAGGGGTGCAAATACATCCCTCAAAAAATATAAAAAATGGTGTTTTGACTAAAATTTTATCATATATATACCTGAAACACAAATTTATGCATCCATAAGTCAGGTGTATCCGTATATCATTTTAGCTTTGCCGTTGCATTATACCGTGTATAGAGACTGTCACCTCTATACCCATTTAGCCATAGTTAAACTGACCTTTTAAACCTCGATATGGTCACCATAGCTATGCCTTGACCAACTAATAAAGTACGAAAAATATAAAACTAGTTCTAATATAGATGCACACATATCACTTTTAAATAAAAAAATGAATAGTTGACTTCAGGCAACAAAAGATTCACTTATTATTTTGTGATGAGGAGGTACTGTTAAGTGTTAACTACAGTTGTGATGTACTCCTGCTTTTTAGCATGACAATTTCAGTATGTATGCTACTTCCTCTGTTCTAAATTATAATCCGTTTGACTTTTTTTACTCTAAGTTTGACCGCTCGTCTTATTCAAAAAGTTTATACAAACATAGTCAAATTTAAATCATTCTTGAAGAACTTTTGTTAATAAAGCAAGCCACACGACAAAAGGAGTGGTGTTTAGCACAAATTTTTGAATAAGACGAGTGGTCAAACTTGGAGTAAAATAAGTCAAACAAACTATAATTTGAAACGGATTTAGTACTAATAACAAATATACGAATGAATTCACAAAACTGAAGGGTCTCGTGTGAAAAAACGTATTTCATGCTACATGCGTCATGCTTCTCTCTGCCTTTCGGTTGCTCGCTTCGTTGTCAGGCACTGTGAACGGACGCCTTCCCGCGGCGGCCAACGAACCGATGCTGGGATGTGGGCCCCTTTTCCTACCATGGAACCATGGAACCAAAAAAAAAAGGAGAAAACGAATGGTTTAGTGATGTTTCCTGCCCATGACCATGATTAGCTGTTTGCCTTCAGTCTGGAAATTCTGAATTCCAAAGAAAAAGAAGAAGTGAACAACCTGAAGGGCATGATTAGTTTCCAGCCTTCCAATCTGATCATTGCGCGTTGCTAAATGAAGACAGGATGGCCGGAGAATTTGACACCACTTGACCACTGCCATTATTATTGATTTCTGTTGTACCCAATCATTACTAACTTGACATCTGGTAGTACTTCTCCCGCAACAATTGTAGTAGCACCTAAACTCCTTTTGGATGCAGTTCGGTGGTTGGCAGTCAGGGTTTGATTTTATATCCTGATGATATTCCTTTTTAACAAGGAGACCCTATCGGCCTATCCCATTCTAATTTCTTTAAGAAAAAGGAAGATTGCTTCATTTTGCTGTGCTAATGTATAGTACCCGGAGAAGCCAAAACAAATCTGATTTTTTTTAAAGAAAACAATAGAAAGCGTGTTCATCAACATTGCGTGAAGAGAGAAGGCATGCACAAGTGAGAGTCTAGTGAAAACTCAGTGCCTCTGTTAATTTACTTACTATTCGGTTTTGGATATGAACTGAACTGTGTCTTGGACTGTTTCCCCAAGGAACAAGGAATGGCAGGCATCTGGCCCCTGTGTTGACATGCCATGTCGACATGTTCTGGAATCTGGACCAGGCCGTGCCCCATGACCAGCCGTCCATGGCGGCTTGGCGGATGGTACAACAAAGGGGGCCCCTTCTCGTGTGGTGCTTTGGGCTGTCCCCTTCCTCCAGTCTTCACGCTGCTCTCTGGTGGGCTTTTACTTGGCGCGGGTTTAGTTACCCAAAGTTTGGATTTTGGGCTACTGTAGCACGTTCGTTTTTATTTGGCAAATAGTGTTCAATCATGGACTAATTAGGCTCAAAACGTTCGTCTCGCAATTTCCCACCAAACTGTGCAATTAGTTTTTTTCGTCTATATTTAATGCTCCATGCATGGACCGCAAACATTCGACGTGATAGATACTGTAACAACTTTTTAGAATTTGGAGTCCAACTAAACAAGGGCTTGGTTTGTAGTACTACCTGGCAGGATCCTCTGCGCTCTTCAACTCTACGGTCTACGCTACGTTGCTCACACTTCAAGAACCTGAACCTTCAGGGAACAGGCATTCTCAGTACGCGCGGGCCGCGGCCACGGGTCTTCAATGTGATCCACCGGTAAACTACTATGTGTTAAGGCCATAGTACTCAGATACGTAAATGCAGCTCCCAGCCAAGTCAGTCGTTGGCACCCTGGGCAAAATGGCAAGAGGACGACCGTGGTCCACGAAGGACCACTTGGGTAAATGCAATGGCAAATTGGCAATGCAACAACAGAAAGGAAAGGCCGGGCCAAATGGTACTGCTACTCTGTCTCCAACTCCAACAGCCCCATAAACTTAATTCATCAGCCATCACGAGCTGCAGTGTTGGCTACAGTTCAAAAGATCGCTGTCCCAATCATGGCGCCACGGCACAAATGATGACCTGTCATGGAATCTTGTACAGCACATATGACACGAGGGAGGCTCTTCCAGTGCAGAAAGCTTCGGCAACCTCCAATCACAGGACATTCAAGCAGAGCAGAGCTGAGTGCTTATGATGAACTCACCACCTACTTTTTGATGAAAGTGCCAACGAACTTAGAACAGGGATCTCAAAAATCTTGGTGCTTCAATAGCAAAATATTTACAGCTATACATCGTGTTACTCCGATCTTTTCAGACAAATTTTACTCACCAGTCATCATCATGTACTGTACGAAGTAAGTAGGATAGTGTAGTGTACCATCACCAGTGCTAATGGGCGACGTTTTATACAGCAGAAGTGGACAATGTACAGGTGCGCCGGCGGCCGGCGGCCGGCGGCCTACTCCTCCCTGGGTATCCACCGGCTCCACCAGATGCTTTTGCGCTGGCTGGCGAGCTCGTCCATGCTCTCGTTGATCGTTTTCACGATCTTCTTCTGCAGGCGCAGCACAGAGGCAAGCACGTTCCGCTGGGCACTGCCTTTCTTTGGTTTTATTTCCTGCACGACACAGAAAAAGCACACACACAAGTGGTGAGTCTTCGGTCTTCTCCTGACAGATCATACGTTTATGATTTATCCCTGGTGTCAGAGCATGAATAAACGAAACGAAACGCTGTCTGTCTTCTAAGTTCTAACTGCTTCAACAGCTATTGGCATTTCAAATCTTTTGTGTGTTCTATGTAATGTAAGATTAGTGATTTGAAAGGAAAAGCTTCAGCTTGTTTGTCTAAGAACTGCTGGAACAAAGCAACAACTCCAGTACGTATTTTCAAGCCTTTGTGTGTTATAAACTACTAGTTAGTATGCAATCATATGCCTCAAAAGGATAGGTAAGGCTGCTATACGTACCCTAAGCTCTAGAAGCTGTGCTTCTGTAAAGCCTCCCACATCTTCAGTTCCTGACCTTGCCATGAGGCCAATAACCCACCGAGCGGCTTCACTGTAGTCCTTCTGGGTTGCCCGGAACAGTTGCAGTCGAGCGTTTTGCATGACCGAGAGGCCAAGGAGCCCTTCACGGTTAAAGTATGGGTGTGCCAATGCGCCCTCAGCACTGGTCCTTTGCCGTGCTTTGTACCGGACCATCGACGTGAGGAGTTCCCATCCGATACCATTGTCTAGATCCATGATGTCGAAGCCCCTCCGAAGCTCAGCAGTCGCTCGTGGCTCCACCAGATTCCTCCAGGCTTGTAAGTCATAATCGCATCTCTTCAGTTGGCGATTAAATTGTATGAGGCTGCTGTCAGTTCGTAGTGAAGGGAATGCCTACAAAAGAAAACAATGTCCTGTTAATAAAGATATTACAACAACTTAAAGATATCCAATGAAATTCCACAGAAAGATGCTGCCACTGTATGTCTGGAATTGGGAAGAAACAAAAAAAAAAAAAACAAATAAGATCCTCCGAGCAGATTTTATTGCAAATCTGCATCTTACAACACCATGGTAAAAAAATGGATTGAAATGACAGTGTAAACTGCTCAAGTCTGATTTCACTCCACGGTATGTACAGATGATGGTTGCTGAACCAGAGTGTGGAGATGTAGCTAGCTGCAGAGCATACTCCACATATACCAGTGCTAGAGCACAAAGTGTAGGTTGCTAGAGCTAGAAAAGGAGGTTGGATGAAGAGAGTAAAACACACTTGAAGTATAGCATGGTGTCACAGCCTTATGTACTGTTGCAACAAAAAATAGTTCTCATTTCAATAAAATATAATGATGATCGCATACGTTAATAAATATGTGTGCTCATAAATCATAATGATCAGATGAGCAAATGCAACCACCTTGCAAATCAGTGATAACTAATACAATATACAACAGTGACTGCAAGCACATGCTAGCCAAAAACTGGACAGTGTTTTGAAGCGACGAACAGAGTAGAAGAGCCTATCCAAGCAGCAGTGTAGTGTAGAGGGAAGATCAGCACTATGATGGGATTCGAACCATGAACAAGAAAAATCATCACAGAATGCGGAGATCAGAAAATACCAGTTTGAGACCTTTTCAGATTTCCTAGTCATGTGCTCTAAGATATACCAGTGCCGCTGCTGCGCCTAGCATTCAACGTATGCTCATACTGATCTTTGATACATAACTGTGCCTCTACTAATTTTTAATACATAACTGTGCCTCCACATCTGTTTTGCAGATACCTACAAATATATGCTAATATGCTATTCCCTGTGATCACTCACCATCTGTAAGAATATGAGCCCCAAGCTATATATGTCAAATCTGTCAGGAAGATTCAGCTGTCAACGAAAAATATCACTGTATAAGCTTAAGAAATTATCCTTATTGGAACAATTATCTCAAAAACATGAAAAGAAAAATCAGTTCGAAGGAAACCTGCCACAGGACCGGAGACAAAGTTGTTGCAACTGGAACAGAAGGAGCAGATGGGGTTTGCGTGCTCATAATATATTGCTCTGGTGCAGCATACCTGCCAGGTAATTTTATAGCTTCAACAACCTTTTCTAGTGAAACCATTAGCACAAACAGCTTTGCAAGATAAAATGTTTGATTAGTGGAGAATTTTCTTTGATGTTGCCATGTTATGCGCTTATTGACAATGAAGGTAGCCATCAGTACCTTGGATCCAAAAGGAACTCTTTAGGAATATAGTTAATTCCTACTCGTAAGTCAGCTGCTGCTCCAAGATCAATAATTTTGAAGGTTCGTGATCCTACCAGAGAGAAACATTTGCAAATTAATGCAAAATATTTTATCATGAAATTGCAAACAAACTGAGATCCTTTTATTACCCTCTGAAAATATCACATTTTGAGGTTTTATATCTCTGTGAACAATCCCTGTCGAATGAAGTCCATCAAGAGCAAACAAGAGTTGTCTCATCACCGTTTGAATGATCTTATTCTCTCTCGCTATTCCTTTTGGCAAGTCCTGGACATTGCCAAGAATTTTTGTCTCCACCTAATTGGCGAAAAAAATCAAGTCACAGCTGTTAAGTATATAACAGCTATTCCATGCCACTGTAAATTTGTTATGACTTCTCGGTTGACTCAAAAGTTAGAATGTAACACATGGAAGGTTTAACTTGTCTCTCAGCAATAGATAAGTATGAAAGATTGCAATTTGCCATACAACGACAATGCTAACTTAACAAAAGGAAGACAATAAGACATGCCTGACTATTCTTAACAAAAAAAAGAAAAAGAAAAAGAAAGAAAAACATGCCTGACTACTCTCACTAACTGTGGATCACAAGCTGAGGCCAATGTCTAATAAGCTAAAGGATCATACTTATCTCGCTAAAGAAGCAGAGTTCCAAACAAACACAACTGATCACACATAAAGTTCACTGGAACTAATTAATCAACTTGATCATTCTAGTGCAGCTAAGCAAGTCAACACAGTGCAAGGTAGACAAAAAGTACACCTGAGAAGATTTCAGCATCAAGGTGGCAATCATCAGTTAAATCAACCGCAGTTCATTCAAACAAGTAACTAACGCAACAAACATGAGAAAAAAAAGCTGGTTCAGCTGAAGTTTAAGCAACCAAAGTAACTTGACTGACTCAAGACTTTTTCAAGGTGGATGGCAGAACTTACATTGTAAGGGAATTCCTTGCTTTGCATGAGGTCATAAAGTGTATCCTCGCCTTCAAAACGCCAAATAATCCAGTATTCTTCAGCTCCCTTACCCTTTGCTTTGGTCTAAAAGGCAACATGCAATGCCTCAGGAATCAACCAAATTCTAGTAAATATAAATCTAAGACCCTTTTGGACTCATTATCCTTTGTTGAGAAAAAGGGACTGGGAGAAAAAAAAGAAAAAACAACAACTCTCCAACACAAACGAACTGTGACTGTGAGTATACCTCGCGAAAGCCATAAAGAAAATCCGCACAACTACTGGCACATGCCCTCCTGACACGTTCATTCATCCAAATCTCCACTGCACCATACTCTGTTGCCTTCTTCAAGACCACATCCCCTTGCTTCAAAGATGAACAAAAGGTTTTAGATATCCATTCGTATGACCGTTTGTTCACAAAAATTGCCAGGGTCTTAGATATCCTGAAGTCTTCAAATCCAATATTGTCAATAAACTATGAAACTGATTCACATATATTACCCCAACAACAACCACATAGTGCACAGTTAGCTACTTAGCTCGTGTGGTCACAATGCTGAACGTACATCAATTCTTTTTCCCCTAATTTCTCTCAGGACTACCCACTTTGTTGTCTAAGCCAAACAGAACTTCTACAGGATTGAATAAGCAACATTAGCCTTTACCTTCTTAGCCGCTTCGGGGTTCGCCAGTGACGCCTTATACACGACCCCGAATGCGCCCTCCCCAAGCTTCTTCCCGAGCACGAAGTCATCCTGCCCAAGCACCATATCAGCACATACGGTGGCGACAGAGGACTTAGGATTCCGAATTTCAAGCGCGAAACCCACCTTGCGGAAGGTAGGGCGGAAGAGGCGCTCGGCGAAGGCGAGGACGAACATGTCGAAGAACCCCGGCGCGACGCCGGGCGTGGCCCAGAGGTACGACACGGCGGCGAGCGCGAGCGCGACGCCGGGGGCCGTGATGGTGAGCCCGTCGTTCTGGGGGAGAGTGCTGCGGTAGATGACGTCGCCGCACTGCATGACGGTGCAGGGGAGCCCCACGCCCACCGCCTCCACCAGCTGCCGGCCCAGCTCCGTCGCGACGCCGCCGAGCTCCGCCGTCACCGGCCGGAACGACGCGGCGGCGGGGCTCGCCGGCCGCCGGCGCCGGCGCCGGCGCCGGAGGAGCGTGTCGTGGCCGGGGAGGAATGAGGTGGAGAGGCCGAGGCCACTAGCGGCCATTTCGGATTTTCCCCGATTTTTTCCTGGTTGAAAAAATGCGGCTCGTGCTATTTATTCCCCGTGAGTTTGAATTATCGTTCGCAGATAATTTCATTCAATTCAAGCGTGTGGAATGGATGAGTTTGACACGTCGCTGAGAGTCCACATGTCAGTGGCTCAAAATGCATGTGACCCGGCGTGCGGGCTCCGAGCTGGCTGCTGGATTTCGCATTTTGATCCGTTATTAAGCCCCAGACTTAAGCGGAAATGAAATCAACGGAGTTTAAATTTTGAATTACGCCATGAATTTTGTTTCTGAAATCATACAGTATAGCTAGACTTCCATAAAATTTGAGGAAAATTAAGCAAAACGTGCTTGTATGTTTGACGTGTGAGTTGTGTGAATTTTCACAATGAGTGGAGTACTTCCTAAGCAGTGCATTTTGGAACAGATTACGGATATAATACAACAAGTACTCCATAAGATATTTTCTCTAGGTTTACTTAGTTCGTGCCAAAAATACAAAAACGAGGAGGCCATAATTTGTGGCTATGGCGAGATAGACCATACACACCATAGACGTGGAGTGGAAGCATCGGATGCTTACGTGAGCTAGTGGCTAGGATCTGCTCTCAGCCTCTCACTCTCGCGTTTGTTAGGAGTAAGGTGAGGTGGAATGGTCTCGTCTGTGATTTGTGGGACGGAATGACTTTATTTTTTATTTGATTGAGTAGAGATGGGATCAACCTGTTTTATGTTTAGTCTGGAGACATTAAAAGTAGGATGACAGGTAGGGCCTAGTTGTCAGTTTTTTATTTTCTTTTTTTTTAATCTTTTTTCTCTCATCCCTTTCGTCGCTTTCCACGCAACCTCCCACGACTCTCTCAGCATGACCATCACAGGCGAGTCCGACTTCGCCCACGGCGACTCATGGGTGGGGGTGGAGGTCGCCTTGCCTGATTGCACTCGTCCAGCTCGGCCGACGTCGTCGTCGGCTTCGCTCGTGCAGCACCGGCAAGGCCCGAGCTCGCCCTCATGGCGGCGAGGCCGAGCTCGTCCTCGCGACAGCGGCGGCGGAGCTCTCCCACGCCGGTACACCTCCTTTTCTTCCTCCCCTATGCCCGCCTCGTCTTCTTTCTGGCGGAGCCCGCTTCCTCACCTTCCGCGCCGAGCGCGCCCGTCCTACCTGGGGCGGCTCCCGTCCATGAAATTTCTAGGGACGGGGTCGCCTCGGATCTCACGGGTATATTCCCACCTGGGACATTCTCGCCTCCGATGGCCTTCGAACTAAACGTCCCTCATTTTGGGTCCATCCCATCCCATCCTACTTTGTCCCTGCAACCAAACACACGGTTAGGCTCCCGTACAAGACATGGTCTACTCTTCTCCTCCCAAGTGCTTGTATATCACAACAAGAAAACAAAGAGGTTAAAAAAATCACGGGTAAAGTGTATTTTTTCAATCTTGAACTTACAACCCCCTAAATTATAAAATCAAGCACCCTTAACTGTCAAAACCTATTTAATTTGGTCCTTTAGTTGGTTTTGGAGATGGTTTTCTATTTTCTAAAATAATAAACCCTATTTTAATCTCTAAAAATACATAACTTATTTATTTTAAATAAAAATTTGTGAAACTAATACCATTTTTATTAAAAAAATATTTACTCATTGGTGCTCATTTTGGATTATTTGAATCTTATTTGCTCATGTGTCTAATTAATCGGACCGTAAGCAATAAAACAATAAGAATGAAAATGAATAAGTTTCAAATAACCGTAAATAGATAACCAATAGTTAGATAAATATTTTCGACAAATTTACAATTAGTTTCATAATTTTCTTGTTTAAAATAGATTAATCATGAATCTTTAGAGGTTAAATTAGATTTTATTATTTTATAAAATCGAAAAAATACCTTTGAAACCAACTAAAAGACTAAATTTGTCCAGTTAGTTATAGAGTGTCCGGTACCCGTTTTCGGAGTTTAGGGTTGAAAAAGGAAAATGTCTACGTAACCCCAACTATTTAGGGTGGATTAATTTACCCTCAAACTATAAAATTGGATTTTCTACCCCTTAAACTTTCTAAAACCGGTCAAATAACCCTCAAGTGATTTTGGACCGTTGTTTTGCTACAATGATAGTGGTTTTATCTTTATCTTTTTTATTTATTTCCACATAATCTTTGAAAAATCATAGTAAATCATATAAAAAATCATAAAATAGAAAATCTAATTTTGTTGGACTCCACATGAGCAGATCTATACAGTGAATATATAATATGGTATGTTTTAGTACAAAGTTTTTCTGTAGCTTTAGATCTATGTTTTTCTATAATTAATTGGAATAATTCATATCTGCAGCTTCTATGATTCAATTGTGGTGAAATTTTTATGATGGGATAATTATTGTATGCTTGAACAGTAGTAAAAAATTAATACTCACTAGATCATGTATAACTTAGTTATAGATTTATTTAAATTTATACTGGTTAAATCGCTTCAACTGTAGTAAAAATTTCGTACTCACTTAATCATGTATAATTTAGTTATAGATTTATTTAGATTTCTACTAGATTTCTACTAGATTCAATTGTGGTGAAATCTTTGGTGAATTTCAAGAAAAGTTTCGGTGTTTTGTCGTCCTAGATCACAGAGCGCTTTGATTACTTGGACTCACAGGCTGATGAGGCTCAGATCGACAGATTCACTAAAGTGTGGCTCTGGCACTTCCTTGGTGCTTTTCTATTCCCAGACATCTCGGACAACACCAACAGCTAGGTCTTTCTTGACACACTACGCCAGCCGTAGGAGAACATAGTGGCGTACAGCTGAGGCAGCGTAGTCCTAGCATGGACGTATCAATAGTTATGCGTTGCATGTCGTCGCACCTCAGGGTATGCGAACCTTGGGGGTTGCTCCTACCTACTCCAGGTTTGGTGTTGGAAAAGATGGTCCATTAGGAGGCCCCTTAATACTGGTTTACCGGTAAGTATTTCGGTTCACTATATTCTTCGAGACAGTTACATATGATAAAATTATTAATAGCTAATTCATTATCGTGTTCAATGCAGCAATGGAACGGGTATAATACACTCCCTACAGCTCTGTATATCTGGACGGAAGCAGAGTTAGTTAGAGGAAATACGAGGCGCAAGTACAGGGAGTACATGGACAGTCTCGACGTCCTAACACAGCACCGGGTCACGCTCTCTTTACTATCATACATGTGTCTTGTTCGATGTACACTATATCACAACCTAACTCAATTGCGAAATGTTCAGGTGCATTGGTGTCCTTGGGATGCTCCGGAGCTCGAGTACTATCTGAGTCCTGTCACTAGGGATGAGTCAGACGAGTATCGCTGCAACGTCCCTCTTATTTTCTTCCACGTGGTCGAGATTCACTCGCCCATTAGGGTTTGCAGACAGTTTGGAAGAATGACAGGCTACCCACCACCGCTTTACTCCACCAACCAAGAATTGCACGGGTGCGTTATCGATTAATAACAAAGCTATAATTTAGAGGTGTGTGTAGTACAACTAACATCGTTTTGTTACAGGTATGACCGTAGGAAGAGGTACAAGACCAAGGATTGGCGCGTGACACACAACGCGTACATCCACTTGTAGCAGAACAGGGAACGGTAGCCGGTCCATGCGGGTGCCCCACACGACCAGCACACATTCGACGAGTATCTGCGGTGGCTTCACAGGTCTACGAGGACACATATCGAGCCCCCGTACACTAAGGAGGCAATTGACGAGGACTCAGAGGAAGATGTGATCGAAGATGTGTACGACGTTGCCACTAGGGATGACACACAACCACAAAGAGCCCCGCTTCAAAGATACGTGGTAAGATACTCGAATGGTATAATTTGTTATCCATTTGGTATTAAGTATGTGTACCAAAACTGTCCAACCACGTTTCTGTACCCAGGCGACACAATTGTCAAGGATGTCCAACGAAGCAGCGTTTCGGCTTCACGAGTCTAGAGGACAGAGACTAGGCGTTCTCGAGACTTTTATGAAGGTAAACATAAACTTGTCCGTTCCGAAAATATATCTTTAGTGTATATGCGTTTGAGAAATACACTAACTTTAACGTCTATTTATGCAGAAGATGAAGCGGAAGCTAGCTCAGAAGCTGAGCTGCATGGACACTCCTTGGGTGGAACCGGCAGTCCCGCCGTCGGGTGGGGTGTCGTTCGACTCTTTGAGGACACCGACACCTCTTCTCGGCCGGTGACAAAAGCCACTTTCAAGCAAGTCGTACACCACCACATCATAGCGCTGGGAAGGACCCTGCAAACGAGGACGACGATGACGACCCCCCGGGCTTCCGCAGACAGCACCACCAGTGGGACGATTGACCGCAGGACGAGATCGATATGTCTCAGCTAGATAGTACCCCGCTTGGTATCCAAGGAGCCTCACAGGTAGTAACAAAGATAGTTTCTTTCAATACGTAGGCTCTATGAACTAACGATCATAAAGATTATAAGTAATCATGCATATCATATACTTGCAGGATACGAGCCGTACGCATCGGCAACGCGACCACACCGACGTTGGCTATACTTCTAATATGTTGCCAACAAATCCGAAGAGACAGAGACGTCCGAGGGATCCTTACACTCCTGTGTCTTAGTTTGTTAGGTCGAACGAATATTGTTGTCCGAAACTTACAGGCTTAGTTGGTTATGTTATGTCAAACTTATGTCGAACCAATAAAAATATTATGTGGCAGCTTGTCCACTTGCGCACGGACTTCATTTATTTGCTTCATATTCGTTTCAATGCGTCTCGGCTGTACTGTCGGCGATATTAACTAGCAACTAGTTCGGGAACCGACAGTCCCAGCGTATCTCGCCGCCGGTGGCCGGCGTCTTGACTCCGATCCTCCCGAGCTTGGTCATCGCCGCCCCGAAATCGCCGAAGAAGGCACCTGGTTGACGCCGCAGATGAGTCGACCGTCTTCGCGCGACCTCATGTCGGACTTAGAGCACCCGCCGGAGCCCACCGGCGAGGGGTCGAGGAAGGCGAAGCGTTGGGGTCGGAGCTGCAGTGTGCGTTTAGCTGCGACGCCGCCGGGTCCATGGTCGCGTCATTGCCGATCCTCACCGACAATGCACCGATATTCATCTGCGTCCGAGTCCCCGCCACGCGCGTGGTCTATGGCGCGGCAGACCCGGCCACGTCACCGGTCAGCATTTTCGGTCGTCGCCACGTCATCCACCTGCCGCGCCATGGTGGCGCGGCACAGACTTTTCGCCGCGCCTTGGCAATAGGCGTGGCCAAAAGTGTTAGTTTTGAAAAAAAAAACAGTGTTAGATTTAAAATTAGTTTTAAAAAGTGTTAAAAAAAGTCCTCAACGTGTCCTTGAAATATAGCCAGGCAAAACACCTTCACTCTGTTTGGTACTCGAGTCCCCCAGATGCGTCAACCAGTGAGTCCGTGTTGTCGCGTGCAGTGTCAAGAGCGGCGTAGGTTCCCCGGCGTAGGTTGCGCGTTTAGCTTGAGCAGTCTTGTGTCTAGGCCGTCACCGAGGTTGATCCCCTGCAAACAAACAGTCAGGTTGTCTAGCTGATTGCTAGCAGCGTTAGTGAGCCGGGGCCTAAGCCGCAAATCAAACCCATTTTGGAAAACACATTGCACCGATACATTAGGCGTAGTGGTATGTGAGAAAAGAGCTGCGTGAGTGATGTATAGAGGGCCATCAGGAAGCCATTGGTCAAACCAAAAAGAGGTAGATAAGCCATTGTTGACGATGACATAGGTAATAGAACGAAAGGTGTTGAGCTCATCATTGAGAATCCTCCAAAGGTTACTATGGGATCCCGCAGCTGGGGTGTCAAAAGAAGCAGCGTCAGGCAGTAGCCAATCTTTCCAGCTGGCTTGCTCATTAGAGAAGAGTTTGTTGATGAATTTCATGAGTAAGCAGCGGTTCTGGAGTTCCAAATCCTTCACCCCAAGCCCTCCATTTTCCTTACTGGCTTGAACATTGTCCCATGCTACGAGGCATTTAGAACCGTGGCAAACCTCATCTCCAGTCCAGAAAAAAAGCACGACGACGGCGATCAATAGCCTTGATGACCGTTTTCGGAACATTAATAGCAGAAATGTAGTGGAGCGGAATAGAGCTAAGCACAGAGGTGGAGAGCGTGAGGCGCCCAGCTCTGTTGAGGAGAGAGGCGCGCCAGCCAGAGAGGTATTTGTCACAGGAGGAGATTAGATGTAGGCAGTCAGCGACAGAGACCTTGTGGGGAGACAACGGAAGACCCAGATTAGCGGTAGGCAGTCAGCCAGAGAGGTATTTGTCACAAGAGTCAACCTTCACGCCAAGCATGTTGTTGATGATTATCAGTGCCAGAGGTGTGCTAATTCAGTAGAGGATCGGAATCATGTCTTCTTCGGTTGCTCAAGCAGCTCTGAACTCTGGAGAGTCATGGGGCTGAGTCATATTTCTCTTCTGTCCGATGATGAAGTCTGGAACGCCAATGCACCCCCTGGCCTCGACGCATCAATTTGGCCGTTCGTTTTCCTGACGATCCTCTGGAGACTATGGGACGACAGAAATGGTCAAGTTTTCCGGAACGAAACTTCCTGTAGTAGAGTTGCAATCTCACGGGTTTGTGATGACCTTGTGGTCTGGCGCAAGCGCCTTCACCCTGATCTTGTAAACAGCCTCGATGGCTGGCGTAGCTTCCTCCTCGATTTCAGACTGGTACTGCTTTTCCTCACATTACTCCGGGTAACTGGAGTGTTTGCCTTTGAAATGAAGTCCCCGAATCCTGATGGTTCATGACTAATCCAGTAACCCTTCTCTGAAGCCAACATATCGGCAATGCATACGAGCGGATTTACCTGATCTGTTTTTAAAAAGACCCGAGCAGCTAGCAGGAGCCTGTGACGGTGGGGTGGCGAAGGCTGGCCGTGTTCTGTTCAGATTCAGACGCGGCTCCCCATCCCATGTGTCACCTGCGGTTTTCGAAGATGGCCGTACGGCGACCCGCAAAAGAAACGGCAATAATACGCTTGCCTTGCTTGCTAGTGGCCTTTCCATGGCCCGAAAACGCAGCCGAAGCATGGAATCCGTGCACGTGGTCGCCACGTGACCCGATCGAGCAGACGGACTTGCCTTGACTCGGTTGCATCAGCATTCAGGAATGCGTGCAGGTGCAGGTGCAGTCCTGGCCGGGCTGGGCATCAGTTCAGTTTCCTGCATGGTATGTACAGTACAGTACTGGTTCTGGTTGCTCGACAAATTCCAACTTTCCAGCAGCAGTTTATATAAGTGGAAACTGCGAGTCATTTAAGTTCAGTGTCTAGTTATATGATCGTCTTTTCACACTGTTCTAATGCAACGACTTAAAGTTTAATTTGGTCTGCACCAGATGTCCTGAATCCTGATGGTTCATGACCAATCCAGTAACCTGTCTTTGTCTTGAAGCCAACATCCCCATCGGCAATGCATCACGAGCATAGATGGTCAGACCTGATCTATTACTCTTCCTGAAGATGCAACCACGTTCCTCCTCTGATAGCTCAGCCAGATCATTACTTCAGAACAGCAGCAGCAGCAGTTTGCCAGACCCGAGCAGCGAGCAGGAGCCTGTGACGGTGGGTGGAAATCCACGAGAAATCTTTTAAGCTGGCTATGTGTTTTGCCAAATTCAGATTTTTGCAAAAATTTTTTGCATCTAAACACGCCCTAACAATACAAAAGATACGTGAACCCTTTGCGCGTTCTCAGAAGAATAAAGGAAACATAATGTTCAATGAAATTTCTCATTCTATTTTCTATTTAATGTGAAAAACATTACATATACTGATTTATATCTCCCTTTAGAATAGCATATCTCTTGTCCAAGTTGAGGCCGCATGCACCGTGTGCAGCCGACCATTAAATATGATATAAAAAGAATAAAATTCCATTTCATGTACCACTAGCATACATTATCTGTCGGTTAGGAATATCTAGCACTAGCAGGACATGAATCCGAGAGAGGAGCTACTACCGTCTTGACCCAGAACCCCTTGAATCTTTCAAGCCATCTAATTAAACAACTCCACCGTCTAACCATAGTCCGATCGAGGAGGAGCGCCAACAATGGAAGCGCCACCGCCGGGTCTCCACCGAGATGCCCTCTTCTCCGACCGTCGCTTCACCTACACCGGCCCATGCCGATAACGCTTGAAAATGGGTCACCTTCTCTCTGCTCTAAGTCATTGATTATCCCAAATACAAGTAAACACCCACCGGATCCACACCTAGATTTCAAAGTTTCTAACATTGATAAAGAGGGTTTCCCTAAGCGTGGATCTTGTCGGGGCAAGAACAGCCCCGTCAGACGCGGCTCCCCATCCCATGTGTCACCTGCGGTTTTCGAAGAAGGCTGTACGGCGACCCGCAAAAGAAACGGCAATAATACGCTTGCCTTGCTTGATGGAGGACCGCTGATCCGAATCCCTAAACGCGGGAAAAGAAAAATAGAGGAAGAAGGTGATCAGTGGCCTTTCCATGGCCCGAAAACGCAGCCGAAGCATGGAATCCGTGCACGTGGTCGCCACGTGACCCGATCGAGCAGACGGACTTGCCTTGACTCGGTTGCATCAGCATTCAGGAATGCGTGCAGGTGCAGGTGCAGTCCCATGGGCTCGCTCAACTCCGGCCATGACCTGGCCGGGCTGGGCATCAGTTCAGTTTCCTGCATGGACGCATGGTATGTACAGTACAGTACTGGTTCTGGTTGCTCGACAAATTCCAACTTTCCAGCAGCAGTTTATAGTGGAAACTGCGAGTCATTTAAGTGCAGTGTCTAGTTATATGATCGTCCGAGGAGAGGAAAAAAAGAGGAGATTAAGCTGCTGTTCTAATGCAACGACTTGAAGTTTAATTTGGTCTGCACCAGATGTTCTGCATATACTTTTCACTCCGAAGCAGAACCAGTATGGTAGGATTCCTACGCACCTGTCTTTGTCTTGGCAGTGCACTACACAGTCCCCACTTCATTTGCACACATGCATCAGAGAGCATAGATGGTCAGCACTGGAGTCCAGGCTAGAACAAATCTTCCTTCAGATGCATGCCTGTACGGTTCCATACCTCTGATAGCTCAGCCAGATCATTACTTCATGAACACCTTTCTTTAACTAACAATACAAAAGATACGTGAACCCTTTGCGCGTTCTCAGAAGAATAAAGGAAACATAATGTTCAATGAAATAGAAAACTTCTCATTCTATTTTCTGATGGAATAATGTGACATTACTTTACATTACATAGTTACATATACTGGACATGCCACTTATATCTCCCTTTAGAATAGCATATCGTCTTGTCCAAGTTGAGGCCGCGTGCGCCGTGTGCTGCCGACCAAGACAGTTCTGCAGACCAAGGCAGGCACCTACCTGCTAGGCATAGCCTACTGATGTGCCATCTTCCTAGAATCAAATTCCATTTCATGTCGAAATGGCCACTAGCATACATTATCTGTCGGTTAGGAATATCTAGCACTAGCAGGACATGAATCCGAGAGAGGAGCTACTAGCTACTAACTACTACTAAGCATCTGCAAATCCAAATTCCTAACTGCGGCATCAATTCGGTGTCAAGAGGAGGCACTGTCCCCTGGAGCGTCATCAGAGTTCGCGCCACTTGACGGGGCGGGATGCCGCATGTGCTGGTGGAGTGGCAGCGGCAGCGGCAGCCTCCCGCTTCCAAGAAGGGGTATATGCCCCTTCCAAGGTGACGTTATGATATGCACAAGTAGGCACCAGGCCGGCGCTACTTGCAAGACGTGAGCCTTCGTCGCCCGTCGCCTCCTATATAACCCTACGGGATGCTCTCACTTGGCCACACGCCATTGCAGAAGCAGATCCAGCAGTAGTGGTGCAGAGCAGCAGAGCCTTCACAGCTACTGAGCTCCTAGCCTCTTCTGTTGGTTCGGGCAGGATGAATAAGCCATGGAGCAGCAGCCAGGGGAAGCGCAGGGGAGGAGGGCTCAGCAGGGTGCTGAGGGAGCAGAAGGCTAGGCTCTACATCATCCGGCGATGTGTCGTCATGCTCCTCTGCTACCATGATTGATCTCCTGCTGCTCTGCTCCTCTTCTTGGCCACTGACTCAGTCTAGGTGTTCTTGCTGCTTTTGATCTTCGGTTTCTAGCTTGTAGGGTTGACGATTCTTCCATGTACATAAGCTAGTTCTCAGGTAGCTACTAACATCTGAGTGTTGTTTTGTGTTGCTGTTTTTTTCCTCCTAGGTCCTACAATGGCAAGGATGTATGTACTGCGCTAGTTGTTGTCTTGTGTGTTTGATAGCTCTCTATAAGAATTGGAAGATCAGGAAAAAAAAATTGTCTTTTGGTATCTACCTTTTGTCTTACATTCAGATTCGTTTTTTTTCGCGAACACGCAACTTTGGCGCGTCTTTCATTAAGAGGAGACATTCAGATTCACTTTAGTACAGCTGTTTGACCAATCGTGTACAGAAGGTCTTCAAATCAAGTATGAATCTGAAGAGCTGCGCTTAACACTTTATGCGCGTGACCAGAAAGTGAAAATATATGCTATCCGAAGATTTTATCAAACAGAACCAATGCGGCCTTGTTCGTTTGTTCTCAAAATCAAATGGATTGAAGAGGATTGGAGGAGGTTGAGGGGGATTTTTACTTGTAGGGGATTTAATCCCCCTCAATCCCTATGGAAATGGCATGCCATACTTCCCAGTTTTCAGGTGTGTTCTCTATCTTTCAACTAGCAAACCTCTTTTATTGAAAGAATAGGTTCCTTATATATTGGTAAATAAACCACCAAGTTGACAACTTGCCCGTGGTACTTTTAGTTTCCAGCAGCAATCAAAAACTAAAAAATATACATAGTTTCAGACTTAAAACTGCCAAAAGATGGACCATGAAAACCTGTGCAACGATTAAGTAAAGGCCTAATAGTACTACTGGTACTGGGTACAGTGAGCAGCAAGCACTGGACCACAACTAAAGGGAGCAGAAGCTTCATCATCCGGCGATGTGTCGTCATGCTCCTGCTACCATGATTGATCTCCTGCTGCTCTGCTCCTCTTCTTGGCCACTGACTCAGTCTAGGTGTTCTTGCTGCTTTTTGAATTCTAGCTTGTAGGGTTGACGATTCTTCCATGTTCCATGTACACAGCTCATTCAGGTAGCTACTAACATCCTGTTTTGTGTTGCTGTTTTTTCTCCTAAGTCAGGTAAAGGATGTATGTACTGTAGTACGTGTTGTCTTATGTTTTGAATAATGAAGATCAAAAAAAAAAAACTTGCTTTTGGTATCTACCTTTTGTCTTACATTCAGATTCGCTTTTTTTTTTTTCGCGAACACGCAACTTTGGCGCGCCTTTCATTAAGAGGAGACATTCTTCACTTTAGTACAGCACCAATCGTGTACATGAATGTCTTCTAAGTACTGAAGAGCTGCGCTTATTATATACCAGAAAAAAATAACTAGTATCAACTGAACATGCTGCCTTGTTCGTTTCTTCAATGGATTGAAGAATTTTGAGGAGGTTGATGGCTCATTTAATCCCCTCAATCCCTAGAAATGGCATCCATACTTCCCAGTTTTCAGCAAGTATCTCAGCGACAAACTTTTATATATTGGTAAAAAACCACCAAATTGACAACTTGCCCGTGGTACTTTTAGTTTCTCCAGCAATCAAAACTAAAAATATACATAGTTGTTAAATTGGACCATAAATCAAATGATCCTTGGTGGACGTGAGCAGCAAGCACTGGACCACAACTAAGGCCTAACCAAAAATGCAAATATTTTGCCCTTGTAATCTGAAAGAAAAAATCATCAAATCATGAACCTTTTGAACTGTGTGTGTGCAATGTTTGTGTGTGTGTTCATCGGGTGAAATTTTCTTCAATCTATAATGCCAATCATGAACTGCATGTCAGGTAAGAATGACCTGTCTCTCGTTCGTGAATGAAATTTTGAGAGGCACAGCATTACAGTTTGCAAATTTTCCCGTCATTTGAATAACTTTTTGAATTGAAAGTCTGAAAGGATGGCAAAATAAACTTTTGGTTAAAATGCTGTTCTCTCCATACAGTTTGCAAATTTTCCCCGTCATAATTTTTATTAGAAACAGAAAATAAAACAAAGTGTTAGTCCAATTTTTTGAGTGAAAACCAATAAAAAAACCACACAAATTCCCCATACAACTCAACACAAAGACCAACCGAACCCTAAGCCAACTCAAACGAAGCACCAACTAAAACTAACAACTCACACTGGTCATTTGAGTAATACTGTTTGGAAATGGCACCGCTGGTACAACATGCCATACTTCCCAGTCTTCAGGTCCACTCTCTATCTTTCAACTAGCAAGGATCATCCAATTTTTCTCAACAACCTCTTTATTGAAAGAATAGGTTCCTTACAAATTGGTAAATAAACCACCAAGATGACATCTTGGCCGTGGTGCTTTTAGTTTTCCAGCAGCAATCGAAAACTTTAGTCCAAAAAATATACATAGTTTCAGACTTAAACCGCCAAAAGATGAGCCATGAAAATCTGTGCAGCAATTAAGTAATAGCTTAATAGTACTACTACTGTGAGGAGCAAGAAGCTTCAAGGTACTTGCATATACATGCAGCGTTGAGTTGAAAATGACCCACCTGCCTCTCGTTCTTGAATTCTGAATTTTGAGAGGCACAGCTCATTGTGAACACAAGCCTGGCAGATCTCATTAGGTGCAAATGTATGTCCTTGTTTTCTATAATGACAACTGACTAGATGGTTGAATTGAAGTGTTCTCTAACATGAATTTACTAGGCACAAATTATATAGATAACAAAAAAAATCTATCAACTGAACATGCTGGTTTGTGCATGGTGACTAAGGGCGTTCAGGTGTCTCAGCAAATACCTAAGCGACAACTTTTGATTAAAATACTGTTCTCTCCATTTGCAGCCAAGAGAACGTTATAGCCAAGAGAAAAAGAAAATCTTGTTGCATTCAGACTTCAGTTAAGCATTTCTGCATTTGCAGCCACATTTGTATACCCTAATCCTGGCTCTGACGAAGTGGGCAGCAGCGTAGTCCAATCTCCAATGCTGCTGTAGTGCTGTTGCATTGGATCGCTTAAACACTTCAATGTGAAGCCAGCGTGCAGGACGCTTTGCACAGAGATCAACTTAGGTTAGTGCAAATTGGGTTGGTTCCAATTCCAAACCGCTGCTCCTTTTACACAGGGTTGGCAAAACCAGCGGTTTAGCTGCCATGGGATGGGAGCTCGCGACAGACGCTCGTATCCTACAACCACTTGCTTCAGGAACCATGTCCAAGTTGAGGCCACTGCTGTAAACAAGAGCTTGTAAGTAACAGCTCGCTTACTTGCTCTCCAGTGAAGCCGGGCCACAGGCCATTACTTGTAGCACTAGTTGCTGTACTTGATCAGGAGCTCTCAAGTTTGTCAAATAGTTAACAAATGCCATCGCCATCACACAACTGAAGAAATTGAAAAGGAAAACACAGTAAGGCCCTGTTTGGTACAACTTATCTGGGAAGCGCTTCCCAGGTAAGCTGCACAAATAGAGTAAAAGTGGCGGTCAAAATAAGCTGGTTTGATCCAGCTTCTACTTTTTAGTACAAATGAGAGCTATGGGAATAAGCGTGGCTAGAATAAGCTTCTGAAAAACGTGGCGTTTGGCTGTTGATTTCAGTTTATTTTGGCCATAAGCAGCTTATAAGCTGTACCAAACAGGCCCTAAGATCAGCATCGGCCAGCCGGCAGCCTAGTCCAATGCCAAAGAGCTGGACAGGTTTGTTTAGGTTTGCAAGTCAGAAGCTGTTGTTCGCACGAAGGGATATATATCATATCAAAGTGTTTGGTCGGTCGGAGCAGTGTAAACTATGGGCAGTCCCAACCCTCCATGTAGGATGGTTTCCCAACATCTCAAGCCTGTGAATATTTGTTACCTACATATCAACTTTATCTAACAAAATGATCTTTGGCGTGTTTCCTAAAAAAAAAAGATCTTTAGGAATGTTGTAGCCAAGAGAAAAGGAGAACTTTGTTCCATTCAGACTTCAGTTAAGCTTTTCCTTTTGCAGCCACAATCTGTAGCCTACCTCAAACCAGTGAGCTCACAAGTGAGCGAAGTCCAGTGCTCCTGTTGCATTGGATCCCTTTCAACACTTCAACCTGAAAACCAGCGTGTAGGACGCTCTGTCCAGTGCAGAGATCAGCTTAGATTAGTGCAAATTGGGTCGATTCCAAACCGCTGTTCCTTTCACCCAGCGTCAGCAAAACCAGCGGTTTAGCCGCCATGGGGGAGCTCGCGACAGACAGTCGTATTCTACAGCCACTTGATGTACTTGCTTCAGAAACCATGTTCAAGTTCAGGCCATTGTTGTAAACAAGAGTTTGTAACAGCTCGCTTAATCACTTGCTCTCCAGTGAAGCCGGGCCAGTGGCCATCACGTGTAGCACTAGTGTCAGCTAGTCGCTGTACTTTGATCAGGAGCTCTGAGGTTTCAGCCGCTTCTGCCTGCAAATCAAATATCAGAATTCAGAAAGGGAGAAAGTCACGAGCACGCGTTAGATTCTTCCACAATTCTCTTACCTCTAACGCAAGAATTTCTAATACAAAGTGTGCCAGCTATTGATACCCGTGTGGCGTGTGCTATAAGCCACTCTTAGGCCTTGTTGATGCATGTGTATCTATTTCAAATCACATGTGTTGGAGTGGAATGAAATGGAACTTAATTCAATTCACTCCAATCCACTTCAACACACGTGGATTGAGATGAATACATGCGCATCCAAACAAGGCATTAACTGTTTCTTCTAATGAACTACTATATTCTAAGTTTTCCCTAACCTTTTTACCTGCATCTGTATGAAAACTAGCTGATCTAGTGTGTTAGTCTTCAAACCGTAACCATTAGCAGAAAACGAACCTGATGGTTTAACTGACGAGGTTCAGAAGCGATAGCTGTAGAAATGTGATGCGATGGCATGTAAGAATCGATGTGACTCCTTTTGACATGTCGTGACGCGTTGATTGGAATCAGCAGAAAGATGAAGCATCGATGATCTGCACTGTTCACGTTTCACGGCATAAAAATGGTTGACACTGCTGAGAACGCACGTCAATGGTTCGGTGTATGTTCAAGTTAAGTCAAATACTTAACAAATGCCATCGCCAAGAAATTAAAAATGAAAAAGACACAGTAAGATGGACGTTGGCCAGCCTACTACTTCAAAGACGAAGAGCCGGATAGGTTTATTTAGGTGTGCAAGTCAGAAGCTGTTGTTGGCACGAAGGGATATATATTATTTCAAAGGCCATGTTCGCTTGTCTTATAATCCGTACTTTTCAACTTATTTTTTTAGCCGGAACAGTGTTTTTCTCTCACAACAAATTAGCTGGAACAGTGTTTCGGCTTGTTTTTTCAGCGAAGCGAACGAGGCCTTAGTGTTTGGTCGGTCGGAGCTGTGGTGCTATGCTAAATGGGGGCAAGGTTGGATGGGATATGACCGATCTATAGTTTTTGAGATAAGGTCATTCATGTTAGGTGTTTAGTTTTGTGGATGGGACGTAAATAGTTAACTCATGGTGCTTCTTAACTTGGGAACATTTAATGATATATTAATCAATGACAAATATTGGCATGATATTTTTTTATTAATAATAAAATACGTTAATTATCATTGATCTCATTCTATTTAACACAAATTAACAACAAAGTTGACTAGAACTGCTTCTAATCAATAATGATATTAACATAGTTATTAAATAACAACAAGATGATTAATTGGTTACTAAAGGTAAGGTTAGCAAAGGTGGATGTCTTCATCCGACCAATTTTCATTGGACAGGCTCTTTTAGTATCTAGCAGAATATTCCCTTGATATTGTAAACAGCTTTATCCACTTTGCCCAAATTAAACACCATCAAAACCTGGACCGTCATCTCCCATCCATTCTCATCCTAGAAACCAAACATACCCTAAAGGCATAGTTTTGGCTGGTTATACTCTCCAAACGGTACAAGAGAGCTACCGGATGGAATAGATGGTGTTTGTAGACTTGTAGTTGCACAGATTCAAACTCCAGTCTTAGCGCTGCATTCAGATGTGGCTGCCATGTCTGGAGGTCACACCCACACCTGAACTTGGAACATACACATTCACGGATTCACTGATCACCGTATTAGCTCTTGACATTGTTGTGCCCTAAGGTCCCTCTTCTCCACAAAGCCGACCGTCACCGTATTTACAGAGATCAGCTTAGATTAGTCCAAATTGGGTTGGTTCGAAACCGCTGTTCCTTTCACCTAGTGTCAGCAAAACCAGTGGTTTTGCCGCCATTGGAGGTCGCGACAGACAGTCGTATCCTACAGCCACTTGATGTTCTTGCTTCAGAAACCATGTCCAAGTTCAGGCCTTTGTTGTAAACAAGAGCTTGTAACAGCTCGTTTACTTACTACTACTAGTATTTATTCTCCAGTGAAGCCGGGCCACTGGCCATTACTTGTAGCACTAGTTGCTGCACTTGATCAGGATCTCTGAAGTTTGTTTTGGCCGCTTCTGCCTGCAAATCAAAGAACAGAATTCAGAAAGGGAGAAAGTCATCAGCACGCGTCAGATTCTCCCACAATTCGCTTAGTACCTCTAATCTGAATTTATGTTTTCCCCAACCCTTTTGATCTGCGTCTGTATGAAAACTAGCTGATCTCGTTTCTCGTGCGTGTGTGTGTCAGAAGAAAGATGAAGCGTCGATGATCTGCACTATTCACGTTTCACGGTATAAAAATGGTTGACGCTGCTGAGAACACACGCCAGTGGTTCAGTGTATGCGGCTGTTCAAGTTAAGTCAAATACTTAACAAATGCCTTGGGCAAGACATAAAAATGAAAGACACAGTAAGATGGGCGTTGGCCAGCCGACTTTCAAAGTCAAAGAGCCGGATAGGTTTGTTTAAGTTTGCAAGTCAGCAGCTGTTGTTCGCACGAAGGGAGATATATCATTTCAAAATGTTTGGTCGGTCAGAGCCAACGCACAACCATCGACCCAACGGTTCAATACTCCCGAAATTAGCCTCTGAGTGATAATTGTGACCTCAAGCACCATATACATAGACAATTACCCTTCATAGGAGCACAAATTATACGAGGGGGAATGGTTACTTTGCTCAATCAATTGCATTAACTACCCTTCTCAGCTCAAATGTCAATATATCATCCAAAAACTTGTTGAAAACATTCACTTAGGTGGGTAAAATCTACTGAGATAATATGACGCACGGAATAGATGCAGTTAAGCTCGACAAAGTACAAGCACAACCATCTCCAGCAGTCATCGTGAAATCCATCTTATGGGGATAATCGATATTCCAAAACGCTCAGTGCTTGGGAGAGTAAAAGTCAATCAGTCGCTCATGATCTCACTTCCATCTGAATTTTCAGAGGCATCAGTAACATCACCTAGCTCTTCAGCCTCTTCTCTGTCGGTTTCCATAGCATCAACTTCAGACTCTTCATCATCAGTGTCCTTGTCTTCATAAATTATCGGTGGTGGCACCTCCTCATCAGCTTCATCATCAGCAATCTGGATCATAATAGTAGGATTAATTGTAATTTCGAAAATGGTCACCCGTTGCTGGGAAGGAAACTTACCTCGTTGAAAAGGTAATCTAGAGTGGTGGAGAGTTGCAATGCCGACTTGAATGTTGATGTTCTTGCATCAATAAGCTGGAAAAAAATGTAGCCAGTAAAATCTGTGTCCAATAGTAAACATGACTTAAATTGCTATCATGCTATATGAACTGTACAAGGACCCAAAAACTGGCAGGATAGACTTTTTGAGGCTACATTGTCTTGTTGCAGACCAAACTCAGCATGTCCAGGGAGGAGTGATGAGTAGAATATCCTTAACAGCCCGTTTGGATGTTGGTATTCAGGCCCAGAATATGGAATTGGCATTGGTACCCCCTAATTCTATTGTTTGGATGGTCTTGGTATTGGCCTTTGGAAATGGGCTCCAATGCCATGCGGCATTCAGTCTACCTACGCAACATATGAAGAAAATATCTACATGAAGAAGATTACGTCTAGCTATCCAAATTAGGATCACACCAGCAAACATCATAGTACCACATGCTGGAGCATCACACCAACATATATACATCAAAGTACCACCAGACTAGTACAATCAATCACATCATAGTACCACATGTTGGAAAGGATGTGATTGATGGTACTAGTCTGGTGGTACTTTGAGTATATATGTTGGTGTGATGCTCCAGCATGTGGTACTATGATGTGTGCTGGTGTGATCCTAATTTGCATAGCTAGACGTAATGTTCTTCATGTAGATATTTTCTTCATACGTAAGCTCGCCATGCCCAGGATCGAGCTTCCCCATGGCGGCCTCGCTCGCTCCCCCCTGCTGTTGGTGAGCCGCCGGGGTGGAGCGCCCCCCATGGCCGTGGCTGCCGAGGTCCACTTGCCATGCCCGGGTTCGAGCTCCCCCGCTGTGGTCGAGCTGCCGGGATTGAGCTCCCCCTGCCGTTGAGATCGCCCCTGCTTTCCATGGACGCCGCCGTCGAGCTCCCCCACGATTGAGCTCTGCACGCCATGGATGCCGCTGTCGAGAGTTTCAATTCTATGGTTTTGCATCCAAACAGGTATTGGATTTGAGCTACTTGCTAGGATTCCAAAAAACAATTCGATGGTCATTTGAACAATAATATTCAAATTGTGGCCATTTCAATACTATGGCTGCTTTGGTATTGAACCCAATTCAATTCCAACCCCCTCAATATCTACCATCCAAACGGACCCTAATACAGTGCAATTTCACTTTTAAATCAGGCAGTAAGATTACAGGCATGAATCATCAATAAATGATCACCAGGATGAGTGTTCCTTTCAAGCATAATTTAATGTTGGCACGCAGGGTTCTATTAGAGTTTTTTCATATAACTTCTTAGAGACAGATATTGCATTGAACATTCTTCACAGCAATGGAGTTACTTCGGTTTACTAACCTGGTAGAGCGAGTTGAGCAATGACAGAGAAAACTCCTGAGACACTATGCTGCTCATGTGTCGATTTAGTAAAGTTTGCAGCCATGGGAGTAAACAAACCAACACTGCGCCCCTAAGTAGGTAAAGGTCTAGAAATTAGTCGGTTGTACCAAATTGCGATAACCAATTAAAGAGTAACACTGAAACTTAGAAATGTACAGCATTAGCATCCTTCAAAGTAGCCAGGATCCTCGATCCCAAAAGGTAAACAAATCATGACAATATACAAATCAGCACTATGTTTAAACATATCATGACAATATACACAGCATTACAGCAGAATAAGGAACTCAACAAGCAGAAAAAGTCATTGGGATCAGGATGTCAACACTGCTTATAAATTACAATGAACATACATATACAAATAAGATCTGGATACACACCATCTTACATGCTTATGCATTCCAATGGACACAAATATATGAATCAGATCAGATATGCATAAACATCATGTTGTCTCTCAGCAGCCATTCATGTGTAATTATATAACTAGTTTCCAAACCACAGTCCCCAACAGCAAGGCAAGGAGTGGAGAAAGCCACAAAAACCATGACAATAATAATAAATGATTAGAAAAGAATAACAAGAGACTAATTACTGTAAGAATTGGAAGGCCCTGGTTCAAGCATGAATATATAGTTGATGGTGCGCAAGCCCCACATGGGCCATCTCATACTCAATGAATTATCAGTTACATGCACCACATAATTTTTGTGTATTAAATCAACAAAAAACACCTCCACAGAATATTACCTAGATTGTATTTGCAACACAAAGAACTTCAGAAGCTTCACAACATCTGCTGGTGTTAGGAGTGATATAGACTTTGTGATAACCTGTGTAACCCAGCAGTAAATTATGAGACATAGTGAACTCTCTGCAATTCGTCAAGAACAATCTGAATGTTACTGAACTTTAGTAAATATATGGATTAACAAATTTTGACTACGGTTTTCATACAACCTATTCTGTTTATTTTCAATTTTGTCAAGAAATAAAATCACTAACATGGGAGTAGCAAGAGAAAAGATGACTATATATGATCAACCTAAGACTAGAACACATTCAGTTAAACCATCCAATTCACCATTCAGCCAAGTACAATTGGTCAAGAGCAGTTCTGTAGTTTTCCTTTTCTAGTTATGATAGAATTCTATTGACCTGAAGAAAGGAAAACATGTGAGGCTAGCATCACCTAAACTTGCATATGCCAAGCAGAGTGTGCAGGCCTACTTACAGACAGACATAAACATTGTCTCCCAAAGAAAACTTTTGAGTGCCTACTTACTTGTCCAGTCTAAGAACTTTGAACGACATATGCTGCTTTGGACAAAACATTTTTTACTAGAGGAGCAAAACTCTCCCAAAGAAGGAGAAGAAAAAAACAATAACACCAGAAGGAGAAGATGCTTTCACCAAACTTAGTACAGAAAACAATACCTTCTCATCTCTATTATACAAGCAAGTTAACAATGCTACGTTATCATCAGCACGAAGAGCTTGCTTCAGCAAGATATGGACTGAATCTGCACTTGGTGGTGCCATAGAGAGCGATTGCTTTTCAGTATCACTCATTCCATTCTCTCTATTGATCAGATTCAGGGTTGCTAGTTTTTCCTCCATAGTAGGTTCATCAAGATTATACTCTGACATTTCCTCACTGATGACTGTGCCTGAAACTTCCCAAAGAAAAAAAAAATGCAAAAGCCAGTTAAGTAAAAAGAACAAGAAAATAAAGGGTGCCCTTAACTCTGTTCATTCATATTCAAATAGTTAGTGCACGAGATAATCAACTTTTCAACTCCATCAGTGTTATATATTAAAAATATAAGTGTGCCATTTGTATAGGAGATGTAAACGAACCTCAGAATTTCAATTTTAAAGAGGTGCTAAACTTAGCTAGGACATGTCTCACCATTAGTAGAATCCAAAACAGATGATGTTCTCTTCCTTGGTCTTCTTCTTTTCTTTGCACTTCCTTTTTTCTTTTCTTCTCCTTGATGAGTGGGGGTTGTCTTCTCTTGCAAATCCATAACTCCAAATTACTAGTTATTTACGGTTGCTGCAAAAGAATAGCAGCTTAGATCAATGACACACATCTAAACAGGGTTCCAAAAAGCGGCACTAAGCGCACGCTTCTGAAGCGCTACGCGGACGGGTAACGCTTCGCTTTGGGGCATAAGCGTTCCCAAAGCGGCGCGACCGCCTTGGTGGAGCAGTGGCTGCTGGCTTCCCGCCGGCCGCGCGCGGCGCGCGGCGCGCGGCGCGTGGCGCGCAGCGCAGCTGCCGGGGACGGGCGCCGTCGACGGTCCAGCGGAGGGGCGAGGGGAGAGGGAGTTGCGCACGCAGGGTCGCCGGCCGGTGTGCAGAGGACCGGAGGCGAGGGCGCGAGGAGACTGGCGAGAGGCGGGAGGGGGAGCCGCTGACTGCCCCGCCGTCGCTGAGAGCCCGAGCCTGAGCGCCAACGCCGTCGCCTGCGTGCCGAGCGCGAGTGGGGGAGGGAGCAGAAGATGGAGCGCCGGCGCAGGCTAGGCTAGGGTGATCCTGTTGGGCCATTACATCGTTTTGGGCTATGAATGCGAAGTAGAAAAAAAGTTCTGGGCCAAATTTCAGGGGAGTCTACCGACTACCTGGACTATCATTTGAGCCCGCCTACTAACCATCATACTCACAGACAAAAACAAAATTTGTAAAGAGTCTAGTATCTAGTGTTTTAGGCTCCTTTTAGGCTGCCGGGGTTCTGTTCCGTGTTTTTTAATGAAAAACTAATTCCTGTCGAATCCTTATAAAATTGCTGGGTCCACGTTTTCATCCAAATTCCGAGATTTGAAAAAAAAAAAAAAATTCCTATCTAATTCCTATAAACGTTTTGAGCCTAATTAGTCAACGATTGGACAATTATTACCAAATAAAACAAAACGCCATCAAAGGCGCTTAGCAGTCACACTTAATCGTCAAAATTTAGGCGGCGCCAAATCTGGGGCCGAACTAAACGCGGCCTGCGTTGCAAAGAGGGTCTTAAATGCCCTAGGTGCTATACAAGTTAAGGTGTGGGTCCTTCTAAGCTGAGACTTGAGTTATGATGAATTGAATTACCTATTTTCTTCTAAATGATGAGGGTCTCATGCCTTTTCTCCCCACGTAGTTATGTGATCCTAAGTCGAGAAGATCGCCTCCACTCCCTGCAGTAGTGTCTTTTATACTCCACCTTGTAGTATAATATACTTTTAGTTATCTTAAGTCAAATTATTATAAATCTGATCAAGTTTGTAGAAAAAAGTATTAAAATCCATAACATAAGTTATTAGATTATAAAAATGCATTTGATCATGTATCTAAAGAAGCTCATTTGGTATGGTAAAGATAAAGATTATTTTTTTTTTCTACAAACTTGATCAAGTTTAGGATGGTTTGACTTAGGACAACTAAAAATCTAGAATCAATCAAGGCAACAATTGTATGTTTTGATCCCTCCTAACAACTAAATTTTGTCCATACACTTACACTGTTTTATTACAATATTTACATTGTCTTATTATTATATTTACAATGATTTGTTTAGTATAATTTATTGGACAGAGGATGTAATTTAGGTATTTCTATGGATTGCAGATCCAAAAACATATATGCCAATTTTTTAGAAAAATTTACAAATTATTTCTATGAATTACATATATAAGAGAAATATATGTTAAATTGTTCACAAATTTCAGAAAAAAAAAACAAATTGTGTTGACATGTGCCTTACCAGGTTCGTTCCACCTATAACGGGTTCTGCTCCCTCTCTCCACGAGCGCCTCCATCCGCCCGAGCCAATCGCCCACCGTGGCACCGCTCGCCCTCACCTGTCGCGTCACGCTCAGCCTCAGCCGCTCGCTCGCTACGGTCGTGTTTGATTTCACGCATCTGGCTGCCCTGGCCGGCTAGCCTGGCTATGGCCAGCTAGAGCCTGGTCCGAATGGTAAGAATGCCATGTTTGATTGCCTGTTCCTGCGGAGCCGAGAGCTCAGGTGAGAACGTGTTTGTTTGCAAGATTACGGTGACCCTAGACCTAGAACATGGTGACGTTACCCTCCAAACATCGTCTTTGGCATTTCATCTAACACATGGAGGCCGTCGGTCCGGCGAGCTCCGGCGAGACCGCGAGGCCTTCCGCGACCGCCATGGCCGGCTGCACATCGCCCACGAGGTCCGGAGAGGCCGCGCACGCGAGATCTGGCGAGACGCCGTCGCTGCGCCGGCCATGCACGCGCCCCATCCTCCTTCCTCGGGCGCTGACCGCCGCCGCGAGCCACCGCCCGCCATGGCCGTGCCCCGTCCCTGCCTCCGCGCATGCCCGCCGTACGCGCTCCGTTGGGCCGTGGCCGCGTCTCCACTTCTTCTCCAGCGTGCTCCCAGCACCACCGCGCCTACCACCAGCTCCAGCGACCGCGAGGTCCTGGCCATGGCCGAGCCAATCGGTTCTTCCTCGCACTCCTTGCTGGCGTCTTCCTGTATGCGCGGAGGCGGGCGAGGTACGTCGAGGTGGGCATGGACTGGGAGCTGGAGAGGGTCCCCGAGCTTGCCTCCTGCTTCCGTGAGGTCGGCGGCGACCACGAACGGCGTGACCTGAGCGCTGCGGGAGGTGAGAAGTCAGGAGGGGAGGTGACTCGAGCGTGTCTTCGGTGCTGAAGCGAGCCGGGGCCGCCCAGAAACGAAGTTGGATTTCGTTTCCTTGGAGCCAGGAGAGAGAGGGCCTTTTGCATCCGGCTGGCCTGGCTCGTTGGTGGGCTCAAGAAGTCAAACACCAGCAGTTGCAGCCCACGGGCGCAGCCACGCCTCGCGGGCCTAAATCAAACACGCCCTGCGTGACCCGCTCGGCCACCGCTCGCCCAAGCGCCGCTCAGCCCCCAGCTTGGATGTGTGTCAGATGACAAATCCAACGGATTGAAAATCGGTTGCCCACAGCCTGTAAAACAACCGGTTATTTAATAGCAATTCTCAAAATCTATTATGTTCTATGACAGAGGGAGTAGTCACACTGCAATCCAATTTAACTAACTTAGCACAACCCGCAGCTTCAGAGTGGATTATTACAGTATAGTTGCTATGTCACCAGCCTAGTGGCAATCGGTACTTAGTACACATTATTAGCCAAAGTCAGTATAGACTTCAGCCAAATTTACAATCTAGACGGCACCCCTCCAGCAACAACAATGGTTTCAGCTGTAATGAATGATGCATCGTCAGATGCCAGGAATGCAGCAGCCGCTGCCATATCTTCCACAGAACCCAATCTCTTAAGCATAGTCCTCTCATTAAGCTTTTTCCTCTGCCGAATAATTTAGGTTAGGTACATGCATTTGAATGGAAGGAACAATAAACTGGATAAAGTCTTGAAATGAATGGATGTGAATGACTTTTTTATGCCAATATAATTATGAAATACTAGGCACATGGACAATGGCATCTAATTAAAATATCCCCTTCTAGACCATCCTTTTTAGCAAGCCATTCCTAGCTTTTGAAATATGGAAATGAAATAGACAGTAGAAAAGGAACATGTTAATATTAAAGATCACATCCGACGTTTAGCAATCAGATAATATGCAACAATTGAAATCAGACAGAAAATGTTTGAAGGCATTTGCGGGCGGCACAATAGAGCATTCGAAAGTTAGTTTTGTGCATTTTGAATTGAGTTTCCATATATTTTTTCCCTCTAAATAAACTGTGATCCACATAGGCCTTAAAGATGAATATTGATTTTTTCAGGACAAGGAAATGTTTCCTTTTTCATTAACCAATCATCAAAATATATGAAGACAAACTAGGCAAGCAGAGATAGAGAAATCACTTACAATGGTCTCATTATCTATGAAGAAACTAGCAAACCGTGTAGGAACAAAACCAGGGGCTATACAGTTAACACGAGTATCGGGTCCCATCTCACCAGCAAGAGCCTAAAAGGTGAAGATCAATAGCTCAGTTGCGTTAAAAAAGAAGAAGATCAATAGCTCAGCAATAAAGTATCCAAAAAAATTAGTTTGCCAGTTTATCTTAAAAAATTATGCACAAACTGTTTTTTTTTTGAAAAAAAAGTCTATATAAGCTCTATGTACAACAGGTTGTCTACTTTAGCCCCCAACCTAAAAAAAGTATTGTGCACCGTAAACTATGTAACACCATTCAAATAACATGTGGTTTTGCCACGGTGGCATTTGGGCCTGCTTGTTAGAGATGACACATGGCATTTGGCCATCTTAGCTGGCATCTGATGACACTATGTCATGCCACTATGGCGTCAAGGATATCCGTAGTCATAGCCGAAGTGTCTAGACGGTGAGATTGGAGAAGAAGCTGAAGGTGCAAACCAACTATGTAACATCTCCCATAGTCTAAAGGGTCGACGCGTCGCATATGTTATGTCTGGAGAAGAAAATTGGCGAGTAGCTCATGCAAGACGGTAGCAGTTTGTGCTGATATCGAGGTATCCGAGTGTAAGGGGAAAAAAGTTGTGGTCGAAGATGGCATCCTGGAGATAGCTGTGGTCGACATAGTCGTGGTTAGGTTGTCATGGTTGAGGTTGGTGCACATGAAGCCGCAGGTGAAAAGGAGGTGCCATGGTGATAACAGATACGCATCAAGGTAATCGTCGTGGAAGGAGGCGATCCCGAGGTCAATGCAGTCAGGGTTGTCGAGGATGTAGACAAAAGACGGTGATGAAGTCGAGGCTGACAAAACGGTAACATGAAGGTCGATACATTCAAGCAGCCATGGACCAAGCATGCGTCGGGGGTGCCGGACCCGAGAATGCATCTAGGACGAAGACACACACTAGTGTTGCTAATAAAGGATGTACTAGGTAGAAAGCCCCAACTATATGTCAGTGTCTAAGGGACTTGACAACAGTTGTGGTGTGCAGAAATGGTGGGGATAGAAGGTAGGTACTAGGTAGAGAAGAGACAGTGATGCTGGCAACGAGGATGTGCTAGATGAATAAGTGTGGGAGCGGACACTCGTGGTCAAAAGCGAGCAATCTTGGTGGTGCTCGATGTCGACAACGAAGAACTCGAATAGCTTGATAAAGATCAGGTGTAGACAAGTGGTGCGCAAGAGGTATAACATGATCGTCAATGCACAGGGGACGATAATGCAGCTGCAAGTGCCACTGTGGACAGAGGGGTGCTTGTGAAAGCATATATATGTCGGTGGTGACCATGGGTCATAATGTTGTGGCCCGAGGAGGCGACACAAAAGTAGCCCCGTGTAACATCCCAATGGAAAAGTAACCTGCTTATGTATGGTTCATTAATCCAGCATTATTCAATTATGAGCTTGTCAAACATGTATTTTACATAATAAATTACAAAATACTATAATTAACGAAGATATATTAGAACTTTCTATACATATAAACGATAACAAGATGGTTTTGACATCGATCAGATACAGCAAACAAAGTGAAAAATGACAAGAAAACAGATGAGCATATACCTTTGTGAGACCAAAGAGAGCCGTCTTTGTAACACCATACATTGCCAATCCTTGTTCTGGATTGTAACCAGCAATTGAAGAAATAAGAATCACAGATGACCCCTTCCGTAGGTGGGGAGCGGCATCCTGGAAAACATTCGATAAGAGGAAGAGAATGATGTCACCTTTATTTGTAGAGAATGTCAAGTAGGTGGAAGAATTTGCTCACCTGAAGAAGAAGGATAGAAGCCTTGACGTTAATGTCCCACAGCCTATCGAGAACAGCCTCTTTCATTTCAAGTATGCCATTTACAGTAGGATTTGCAGCAGCGTTGGAGACAAGAATATCAATGTGGCCAAAGTTCTGCAGCAATATAACCAGTTGATTACTACTAAAAGAATCGTCTCATCCCAGTTGCCTTACACTAAGACATGAACAGAAACTAAAACATTCACTACAGGAGACTCGCTCTTTACCGAGTGCTCGGAGCTTTGCCGAGTGTCGAAACACGGGCACTCGGCAAAGCCGGCCCTCGGCAAAGGCCGTCTTTGCCTTGTGCCAAACACTCGGCAAAGAGGGACACTCGGCAAAGAAGAACCCTCGGCAAAATACCTTAGCCGACGCCGGTGGCCCCTCCGTCATCCTTTGCCGAGTGCTGGCCGTTAGCACTCGGCAAATGTTCTGTCTTTGCCGAGTGCTGCAAGCCTGTTCCGACACTCGGCACAGTATTTTTATTTTATTTTTTATTTTTATTTTTAAATTTTTTCTGTGGCATCTATACAGTACCTTGAAGCACATGTTCCAATTTGGAACTTTTCTATGACTTTTTGGTATATTTTTAAAAAATTTATGTTTACTTGAATTTTTCTCGAAAAAATAAATTTGAACTGCAGGTGCATGAAATATTGGAATTTAGCGATTCAAAAAATAGTATTCATGTTTTTAGTGTATTTTGAGGCCGTGTGCAGGGACATTCGTGAAATTTTGAACATCTGCTTCACGAAACACGACCACCAACTTGTTAGAAAAGTGTTTTTTAATTATATAAAATGCAAACGAAGTCCGAAAATCACGAAACTTGTCGAGGTGTCGTGTCATCGCATGTAGAGGCTGTGGTAAAAAAATTAGAAGTTTCCGAGCAAGTTGTGACGTACGATGCCTAAAACTCAGACATCGTGCCGTATATATATTGTCGGCCATCGTGTCGGCTTTTTTCTTGCAGGTTTTGAAAACATCCCCGTACAGGGGAGGTTCTGCCAAAATTTTTAACTTATAGTATTATAATTCTTCTTTTGCAGAGCAAGACACGTCGGAGGGGACCCGGAGTATGTAGGCGACCCCGATCGTCTTCATCGGCGCTGTGGTCCTGCCTACACAACGTCGCCTCGCCACTGCCCCTCTAGCCTGACTCCACCGCCACCTAGGTATAAATAATCTCTCTTCCTAATGGTTGTCGTAGATCGGTGTAACCCAGTTAGGCGTCTCCCATTCGAAACAGATACGGTTGGAGGTATGCGGATTTTCACATATCTAAGACCGTATCTGTTTCAGATTGTTCACTTTTTTGGACAGCCCGCGGATGCGTAGATGGGGTAGTTTCCATGTTCTACTTCGATCCGAGATAGAGTTTTGGCACCATCTCCCTGTTGTTCTCTGGATACACACTCTCCTTTCAGGACGTGTATCGGGAGAACAGCAGGGAGGTACTACCGAAATTCTATCTCGGATCGAAGTAGAGCATGTAAACTAACCTCATCTACACATCCGCGGGTGGGATTAGGACATATCCTCACCCATTAGACAGTAGGCACGCCATTCAGATGCAATTGGTGGTTATATTACTCGCTCATGTATATGCTAGAGGATGGATAACCGTGAGTGGATGTACATGGGTGAAAGGTCCTAATATGGCTAAAGGGGGGGGTGAATAGCCTATTTAAAAATCTACAAATCAACTAGAGCAATTTAATTAGTATGACAAATAGCGTAA